TTCCTCGTGGAATGAGGTTTACCGGGGCTGCCGACAAAGGGCTTTGATGTCGACAGGGGGAACGTCCAGACTAGCGCGCGAGCTGACAAACAGCTGATCAGCTGTTTGTCGGCTCAGCGCGGCAGCCATGTAAATGTAAATGAAGCCGCGATCATTTAAATCGCGGCTTCATTTATCTTTGCTGAATAAACAAATCTACATGCCTCTGCCGACAGAGGCATGTAGTTTAGACGTACCCCATATGACTACATTACCCCCCCTAGTTTGAACTAGGGGGGTAGTGTAGACATACCCAGAGTGATGCACGCTGCTTAGCAGAAGCCATGCTCCGAGATGGGTCGCGCACGGACGCCCAGCTTTGGGAGCAGATACAAGAGACAGGCGCAGACAGCAGGGCTACCTTGGTGTCCCGTTCATCGCCTTGAGCGTGGATGGTGTAGGAAGGCCCGTCCCTCCGCGAGCTCTCCGTGGCAATGCGCACTTCCACCCCCGGCAGCGGGGTCCCCACAGACCCTGGGAAAGGAAACAAGGGGGAACGAGAGTGAGACAGCGGAACTCTGCAGGGTGACACTGTGCCGCCACAGAGCAGGAGGGCCTCCCCTGCTGAGACAGCGGTCCCTCATGCAGATGCAAGAACACCTCACACACACGCCTGCCAAGCCTTCTGCTAGGTCATTCGCAGTCGTGCCCCGACGGAAGCACGGCAGGAAATGCCTCGAAAAGCCAGCACGGCTCCTCATCAGAGCAGGCCCCTTCCGGGCACCCTGAGATCAGAGCAAATGTCGACCCAGCTTCAGACCGCCGTACGAGGGAAACAAGCGTGTCAAGAAAGCCCGGAGACCGTGATCCCTGCTCTCGGCTTCTTACCAGGCGGACTTGACGGAAGGAAAAGGCACAGAGAGGCAAGAACTGCCAGGGATTCTCTCTGCTTTATACTGCACCAAGATGCTGCACGTAAACCACGAAAGGAGAAAGGCAGAGTCCAAAACACAACGTTATTGAGAGGTTCCTGTCTTCCAGGCCAGGGAAATCTGACACAGCATCAGGAACAACAGCCCCTCAAGCGGCAGGACAGCAGGATCCTAATGCCCTAGTTCACTGAAGGGCCGGCGAGGCTAATCCTCGGAGAGAAACCGGGGCAGCCTTGCTGCAGAACTCTCTGGCCCCGAGGTACTGGCAAGCGCGCTCAGCAGTGGCCCTGCACTCTGCCACCGACAGCTGGGGGTAGAAATGTTTCTATCCGAGGGGGCACTGTCTGATTCGCTCCGCTGTCCTCTGTAATTGAGGCACTGAGATCCAAGGGGGCTGCCTGCCTCCCTGCTCCCCCTCCCTTTCTGTTGGAACCTCCAGTGGTCATGTCTTTGTGACATCACAATCCTGTGTGTGTCACATCAGCCAGTTGTCAGGGACACCAATCTATTGTCAGGTCTAGGTTTACGACTTTCCGGCAGGATCAACTAAGAGCAGCTGGGCTACGAGGGAGAGTGATTTTATTGCCACAGAACTGCCCGAGCACTGTGCCAATCTGGCAAGAAACAAACAGAAAACTACGTGGCTGGGGAGGGATGGGTTCCTACTGCCAGTGGGATACAGGCTTTACAGTATAATGATCATCTATATGCCCCCAATTACTACTAGATGTGTGGTCTGAACTGGTTTCATAAGGGCCTGCCAGGCTGAAGAAAACTATTCTCTCTCATCTGGTCCAAGAGCATGGATTACACCAGAGAGACTGACCGACCCAAGCACTTAACCCAGTGTTTCTTAAACTTTTTAAAACTGAGGAACACCAAACAATAATTTTTTTTAAATAAGGAACACCAAGGATTTTTGGTTGAGAAAAAAAAAAACTGAGGAAAAAAGGGCTGGGGGGAAAGTTATCGAGACGAGAAGGAAAAAAAGTCGCCTGCCCCTTTAAGGGTGGCCATTTTGAATTCTGTTCTCCGCGGCACATCACCGACTGCCTCGTGGCACACCGTTTAAGAAACACTGACTTAACCATTCCATTTGATACGGTCTTGCCTATTGGTAGTAATACTTTTTGACCAGGTACCCTTCCCCTGGTGAATTTTAGGAGCACTCAAGGTCATGTTATAGGCCACTGAAAATACAGCAAAAACTGAAAAGCCAGACAGACGGTAGCACATCGGGGTGCACCCTGAGTACTCGTGACAAAATTTTCAGTGATAATTCAGAGTCTGAGGGGCCTCTGCCCCAAGACCTTTTTCCCCACCCCTTTTGGGAAGAAAACATGAGGTACTTAATGGCTCTTTAACCTAGTAGGGAAAAGCAGAACGAGACCCAACGGCCGGAAGCAAACGTCACCCAATTTCTAGTTAGAAAGTTTTAATGGTGAGAGGAATCACTCAGAGGCACAAACGATCAGGGAAAGCGGTGGATTCGCCATCTTTGAAGGTCTTCACATGAAGCTTGGCTGCCTCTCTGGAAGATTACTTCAGCCACACAAGTTACTGGGCTCAATCCAGAGGTAGCGGGGTGCAATGTAATGGCATATGGAATACAGGCACACAGACCAAATGACCTGATGGTCTCTCCTTGCTTTACTCTCCACGCAGTTACGACTGCTGAGTACTTAGGGGCAGGGCCAGTCTGAGCCATTCATGCGCCCCGGGCAGTGGGCGTGCGACGCATGCGCGGCTCCACCCCTGGACGTACGGCACATGCGCGGCCCTGCCCCCGGTGCACCTTACAGCTGCAATTGGGCACGCGACACCTGATTGCAGCTCTAAGGGGTGCTGCGCGGTGCCCCTTACAGCTGCCATCAGGCACCCCCCCATAGGTTGGCGCCCTGGGCAGCTGCCCGGCTAGCCCCCCGCTTAATCCGGCCCTGCTTAGGGGAAAGCCTCACCGGCTTTTTCTGAAAACGGAACTCTGGTGCCAAGCTCACTTGGACGCTTTTGAAAATGATTCCCGTAGCTACTACCCGTGTCCATGTAACCCCTGACATCATCCTTAGGAGCGGGGTCAGCAGCCTCTGCCGGATCCACTCTCAGGGAGCCAGCAGTGGAGGGGCTGGGGCGGGCCGGGGAGCAACCATTGCTTGTGGGGCCAGCAGGGCTGACGCAGCCCCCTGCCTTGGGTGGGTGAGGAACTGCTCCAGCCCCTACCAGTTAACCGGAGCCGGTAAGCATCACCCGTTTAGGACGACGCTTACCGGTTAACCTTTCACAGCCCTGCTAGGGACTGGTCCGAGAGGCAAGTCATTCTGTGAGTGTCCCCCCCCCCAGTCATCCGATGGCAATGGCTCTGCCATTATTGCTCTGGATCTGAACAGGTGACCCTCCCCGTGAAAGACTCCTCCAACTGACAGAGGCAGCTAGTCCCGCTGCCATTTTCATACTGAGCTGATTTTAAAGAGGGGCAAAGGATTGCGGTGCTTTCTGTGCAAGACTGGGCAGGAGTCACGATCACGGCATGTTTCCATACAGGGTCTGCTCCGAGCACAGCAGGGATTTCATACTGGGGGGGAGGAGGTTTTCACTCACGTTACTCTAATAAACAGCTCCCTCCATTGATTTCCTCTATGGCTAAAATAATTATAATGAAAGTAAAAGGAGGCCCTCCCCACAGAAATCGGAAGCTGGTTTGTCACACCCCCTCCAAAAAGTGTCTCTTTGGAGGGGAGCAAAAATGACCAGCCTGTGAAAACGGCCCCCAAATGCTGGAAAACGCTGACACTGTCTAGCAGCAACACCGCATGACAATGAAAGTCTTCACGCAAAGACAATGGCTCGAGCCTCCCAGGCCCACGTGGCACGTGAAAAGGAGCCCACGGATGCTGCGCCCCACGCTGTGTGAATCAGAAGGCATTCCATCGCAGCCGGGGGGAGCAGACTTCAGTTACAAGCAGAGAGTGAGTAAAAACCTGCCTTGGCTTCCTTTTAGTACGGGGTGGAATTCAGGACTCCAGCTGGGGAGAACCCACCCCGCTTCATGCCTGTTAAGAAATGCTGGCAGCATGCCCGCACAGTGTCAGCTCCGTCGGCACTGGCAGGCTACAGTCAGACAGGAGAGTGACACTATTATTCTTGCAGTTCTCCTCAGTTCTCCTCTGGTTAAAAAAGTTGTCAGCTCTTCCCCGATCAATTTAATTGGCCTCGTGGTCCGCGTCCTTGGGTGTCTGGGGACCTTGCTGCTGGGATGTGTGGTGGCGTCCTGGGAGAATTGAAGCAGGCCAACGATAAGGCACTCAGCGATCTCCCTGTCAACAAGACATGGAGTCCCCGCTGTAGGAGCTATTAGCCGCTTCTGATCTAAACCTCCAATTAAAGTGGTGATTAGGCCCAGTGAGGCATTCTCTGGCCATGAATTATTCATTTCCCTTCACAGTAACAGCACCGGGGGGATTAGAACGAGAGCTGGCGAAAACAGAGGCATTTTAAACAGGGTTTTAACCATATACAAGCAAACATTTATCTTCCAAATCTTCTCCTCTGGGAAATACAGGCACCCCCTCTTGCCCCTGCACCTTGCGAGCCCAGCCTGGCTGGCGAGCAAACGCTCCCTCGAGGCCGCGCTGTCAGGGATGTTGCAGGTGGCATGGCGGAGCTCCCGAGAGAGCGGCTTTTAAAGCTCTTGACCTCTCCGACACCAGCTACATCGAAGAAGGGCGGGTTTGGTGGGGACTGCTCGGTCACCTCTGAGGCAGGAGCTTATGGAAACAGCAAATAATGAAGCATTTTTGCCCTTGCTCCTGCTCTAATGGGGACTGGACTTCCTTTGAATGCCGATATGCCAGTGTGCTCAAGCAGAACGGGGGCTTGTCACAGGAGCACAGATCTGCCACTCTCAGAGTCACAACAGGGAGGGTGGCGGCTTCCTAACATTTCCCTGCCGCCCTCTGATTTGCTGTATTGGTGGGAGACGTTCGCTCTCGCTATGGCCAGAGCGTGGCTGGGCATGGTGAGCTGCCCCGACTTGCTTATGCTGGCACTGCCCCCTTCGCTCGCGGTGGGTGTGGCAGAGCAGTGCGAGGGGAGAAAAGGCCATGTAAAGCCAGGGAAGTCTCCAAAGGCTGCTGTCCTGGAATCACCCCCACTCCCTGCCCTTTGTTACCAACCCGCTAACATATTTCTACTGCTGAAAAGGTCGCCCTCAATACGGCACTGTGCCTGGATACCCCGGACATCAGCCTCCCATGGGACAGTGGGGCAAAAGCCTTTCCAAAGCCCAAGGAAACCAGCTCTCGGCGTCACTCGCCTGCTTTTCGTTTGACACTTCCTGAAAGAAATTCAGCCACCCTGTTCATCACAGCCTCCCTTTTGCAACTCCAGACTAAGTGTCTCTAAGTAACCCATCCCCACCCATGTGCCTGGATACCCCGGACATCAGCCTCCCATGGGACAGTGGGGCAAAAGCCTTTCCAAAGCCCAAGGAAACCAGCTCTCGGCGTCACTCGCCTGCTTTTCGTTTGACACTTCCTGAAAGAAATTCAGCCACCCTGTTCATCACAGCCTCCCTTTTGCAACTCCAGACTAAGTGTCTCTAAGTAA